GACTGCTTCAGTAGCTGAGGAGTCACGAATGGTGCTGAACTTGTGGAAGTAGAGACAATTCACAATTTAACAAAAATTGAATGGGAGGTGCTTGAGGGAAATAACATGCAGAGCTATGGGTATACAGCAGGAAAATAGAAACAACTGCATTGGTCTATAGAGCCATAAATATTGATGGCCAAATGACCCACCACCTGTGCCATACTTACTTCATGACTCAAAAAATGCTCAGTAGAAAATTTTGAAAATTCCCAGGTAGTCCATAAACTATAGTTATATTGGTTAGATTCTCTCCTCTTGTAGATGTCACTGCTCGCCACTTGTGTGGTATGGTTGGTACTTCCTATTTATCCACCTAAGACCACGTATTGTCTAGGTCTTGCTACATTTGGACATGGGCTACTTCAATATCTGAGGAGAAAGAAATGGGTTGTACATGGTTATTGATGCAGCAGCTGAAGATGGTTGGGCCAAGGATACCATCTGAGGAACACTTGCAGATGTTTCTTGGAGCTGAGATGACTGACCTCCAACAACTACAACCATCTTCCTTTGTGCTAGGTGTGACTCCAATGAATGCAGAGGTTTCTCCTGATTCTTATTGACCTTAGTCTTTTTAGGGCTACGCAATGCCACAGTCATTTTATTGTGACCTTGATGTCAAGGGAGTAAATCTCCCCTCCCTCTGTGCTCCTTTTTTTCTCTTCACCACCCCCCCCGCCCCCCCAATGTTTGGTCAAAGGCTATGTTGAGTCAGCAGCTAGTGCCCATAATGGAATCCAAATTGGGTGTCAACGAGCAGGCTGTCGCTGAACACTTGATAGCATTGTTAACAACCCTCTTCTATCACTGCTGCCGGTAGTAGATTCACGCCTGTTAATTAGAAATAGAATTAGAATTGCTTTTATTGTCACGTACTCACTCACATGAATAGTGAAAAGTTTACAAGCTGCTACTTATGGCGCCATCTTAGGCACAAATGCCCCTAGGCACAGAATCTTAGTACAAAGCAGAAAAGCCAAGAAAACAAGCCAAGGTGTTAAACATTACAGTCCTTCTTACTAAAGTGTAGAAAAACAAAGAAACACAGTTAACACAGTAAATTTTCTGAAGGAGGGTCTAGGCCCGAAACGTCAGCCTTCCTGCTCCTATGATGCTGCTTGGCCTGCTGTGTTCATCCAGCTCTACACCGTGTTATCTCTTAAACACAGTTAATAGTTCAGCATCACAGTCCTTGGCTCTCGTTCTTCACAAGGCTTGACTTTGCTGTCGCTGTCGCCTCAGGCTGCCTGCTCCTGCTCTTCCTGCAGGTCCCCAAGGCTGCTTGCACCCATTCTCACTGCTGGCCCCTGGGACACGCAGCCTGCGCGATTCTCTGGGTCTGCTTCCCCACGTGCTGCTGTGCAGGGAAGAGCCCCGCTGCTCGGGCTCGCAGTCCACATGCTGCTGTAGGGCTCGCTGCTCTGGGGACTTGCTGCTGGGTGCCTGCCACTGCAGTATTCGCCTCCAGTGCTGAGGAGAGAGTGGGGGGGAAAAGGAAAAGGTGAAAAAAGAACAGACAGAGCAAAGGAGCTCTGACAGGAGCATCCTGCTCTGTCTCCATCTTCCTGTTAATTGGCTGGATTGGATTTATCCTCACTTTTTTTTAAATGGACAGGACATACGTGGGCAATTTTCCACCTCCTGAGTAGATACTAGTGTCGTTGCTGTACTGGAACAGTTTGACTAAGGGCACAGATAATTCTGGAACTTGTCTTCAGTACTTCTGCTAGTATGTTGTCAGCGCCTGTTACCTTTGCAGTAATATCCTGTTTTTTTACCCATTGCTTAATATCACACGGAGTGAAAATGAATGGACATTCTGATGCCAGGAGGCCTACTGGCGCTTCTGACTGAAGGTGTTTTATAATGTTTCAGCCTTGTCTTTTGCGCTGAGTTGGGCTTTACCAGTATTTGAGGAGAGGGATCCCCATGGTTGTTAATTGTTTACTTTTCTGCCTCCCATTCAGAGGCAGGACTGCAGAGCTTAGATCTGATCTGTTGGCTATGGAACAGTATCACTGTGTCTATTGCTTACTGTTTCTGCTGTTTTGGCATGCAAGTCCCGTGTTCTAATTTTAGCAGGTTGGTACTGCGTCTCCAGGTGCTGCTGGCTTGCATCCCTGCTCCTTCTTTAAACTAGTGTTGATACTTTAATTTCTTAGAGGGCGGTGAGGACAGTTTGGAGAGCTATGAAGTATCATTTTGCAGTGGAATAGGATTTTGCTGCTGTGTTGGCACAAAGTCCAGTTTAGAGTTGTTACATCTGTTGAAAATATATTGCTTTTAGCGCAGTTTGTATTGTGTGACTCTATGGATAAGTTTCTCAATGTGAAGGCAAGATTTTACTCCACAAGGGTTGTGCGATCGCCACTCCTACTGATAGTTCAATTGAAAAATGCACCCGCAACAGGAAAATCAGTGAGAACAAGATCAAGTAGATTTTTCCCTCTTGTTGGTTCACTCCCCATCAGCCATAGACCCAATTTAGCACCTGTATCCTCTAGGATTGTGTCTGTTTGGTTAGTGCTGGTACTAACGAGCACTTCCTTGTGATAAACGTTGAAAGGCCCCCAGTTAGTGTACATTCTGTGCCCGTGGCACAATTGGTACTACTACCAGTTGGTGTTCAACATTAAAGAATACTGATTCACCAGCTGAGTAGATTCAGGGATAGCAAGTGGTATAATTAACAGACAACTACCTTGTCCAGTAGATTTCATTGGATCTAGTCAGTATTAAAGACTCTCGGGCTGCATTCCCTCTCCATTTTATTCTGCACAGTTTGGGGGGGTGTCCATGTGCGGCAGTGAACCTCAGACTTTTGGTTTCAATGTAATGATCCATGTTAACAGCACACCTGCGTGTGCACACAGCTTAGAGAAAATGTTACTCTCTGGGCAAATCCTTTGTGACTGTATCAGAGATAGCAGGAACTGCAGATGCTGGAGAATCTGAGATAACCAGGTGTAGAGCTGGATGAACACAGCAGACCAAGCAGCATCAGAGGAGCAGGAAGGCTGACGTTTCGGGCCTAGACCCTT